TCGGTAGTCGCTCCCCACGGGCCATAGCTCGGATTGCCTCGCCAAGGGAAGATCCGATCTGCTGGAAGACGGTGTCCAGCATGGCTTCGAATGCGCCGACGTAGGCTCCCGCCTGCGAGTGCGGCGAGGGAGCGCGAGGGAGAAGGCGGAGGGGGCTGGGACAGGATCAGTCGGAGGAGGCTGGCGTAGACGACGACCTTCGACCGCCACAGGGAGGGGAAGTCGAGAACACGACGGAGAGGAGGAGGAGGAGGAGCAGCAGGAGGAGGAGCAGGAGGAGGAGGAGGAGGAGGAGGAGGAGGAGGAGCTGGAGGAGGAGCAGGAGGAGGAGGACGAGGAGGAGGAGGAGGAGAAGCAGCAGCAGCAGCATGAGCAGAAGGAGGAGTCGGTGGAGTCGAGGGTGGAAACGCCACCCCTGCCAGCCCCCCGCGTTCGGGCACGGCCTCCTGCGCAGAGCTGAGGCCCGCCAGCTCGGCGTCCAGGCTCCCGAGCACAGAGACCGACGCCTCTTGCTTGAAAAACTCCTGCACCCTCTGAACGGACTTGGACTTCTTGTCCGCATCGGATAAAGAAGCCCGCGCGTGCCCCAGGAGCTTCGCCCCCGCCCCGGTCGACGTGAAGATCTTGAACGTGTCCGAGCCGCCGCGGCTGATGGTGTGAAACAAGTCGCTGATCGTGTCGACTCGGCCTGGCTCGCTGTGCTTCTCGACGTCGAACACGGTCTGCAACGTCTGCAGATCGCTCACGACGGCGGCGTCGAGGCCGAAGTCCCACGAGCCGCTGGCAACGGAGAGGAATAAGCTGATCATCGCCAGGTGCTGGGAACTGCTCTTGGGGGCCGCGTCTCCAGAGGCCGTGACAATATCGATCAACATGTCATTGATTCGCTCCTGACAGTGCGAGGCTCCTTTCAATATGAAGTTCCACGAGGCTCCTAACTTCGACAACCCAGGCCCGCTGGCGGGGTGGGGGGGGGTGGGCCCCCGGGCCGAAATCTTTTGGCATATTATGTTCGCAAGCGGAAGCGGACCTGGGGACGGACGGGCATCCGACATCCGCAAGACGTTGGAAAGGACATGTTTCGGACGGTGCCCCTGGGGCCGTCCGAAACATGTCCGTTCCGACGTCCTGCGGATATCGTAACTCTCTCGGGCGCCTCTTGGCGGGCCGTCTTGGCGCTGTCTTGGGCCGTCTCTGATGCGCTCCATACAACCGACAACGACTTCCCCCCCCCCCCTTCCAACAAAAAACCTGCCTCGCCAAGAACTGCATAACGGGACCGCGACCAACACGAAAGCACGGGAAGGGATACCAAAGCAGCGGCCCCAGAACCGTTTCAGGATTCAGGCCCCCGCTCCATTCCAGGAAGAGGGGAGTGCCAATGAACTGCCCAAGCTAGACCCTGTTCAATCCCGAGCTCCATCTGCCATGTGCGCAGCTCGTCGGTCTTGAAGATATGCAGGTTCGCTGCCTTGGAGATCAGCTGGAAGCGCTTCGGCACCTCTGCCAAGGCCGCAGTGGGATCTCCCATCAGGACGGGGAGAAGGCCGTAAGCGAACTTCATCTCAGCGATCGCCTGCTGCAGGCAATCTGGGTATTCCAGGGCGACCTTGGGCTCCTGACTGGCAATGGCTTCGACCTCGGCGAGCTCTTGAAGAAACTCCCCATGGATGCACTTTCTCGACCATACTTTGTATGCCCTGGTGAGTCTCCCGTGTGCGTCTGCAACCTTGATGGCCTTGGTAATGTCAATGTGCATGGACTTGGGCAACGCCCGCATCTTGGTCTGCAAGCTGTCTACCAGGTGCTTCATCAACTTGAAGTGCTTTTTGTCGAGGGCAAGCACAGAGCTCCTCTGCAGCGCACGGAAATCAGAGTTGATCGTGGACAACTTCTCAAACTGTGCCTTCGCATCACGCTCCGTCCTGTCGGCTGGGACAGCTGGATCCGCCTTGCGCGCTGCCTTGCGCTGGCCACCACTGGCTGCCTTGCTGAGCGGCGGCGGGGCGGACGTGGCGGCCCTGCCGGGCTTGGCAGGAGCGGGCGCCGCCGCGCGGGCAGGGGGGGGGGCGCCAGGGTCGCTCTTGGGCTTGGCCATCCTGGGAACTCTCGCCGAGCCCGACTTGCTCTGGCTGTCAGCGCTGTCCATCATGCCGAGCAAGTCCCAGGATTTCTCCGACTCAGCCCCATCGTCGCTCTCGTCATCTTGACCGGCACCAGCGCCCGCGGCAGGCGCGCCATCTCCCTCCTGGGCGGCTGGGGGGGCGCCCGACGAAGATGGCGCCATGGCCTTGCCGACGATCCTGTTCCGCCCCTGGGTGGCCTTCATGCTGTCGTAGATCTCCCTCACGCGGTTCTGGTCCACGAGCTCCCCGTCGTGCACGACCTCCGCGTGCTTCAGCGACTTCATGTTCATCATCTCACACTCCATCTCATCCTCGGGCGTCGTCGGCATGAGGACGACATCCCTGGGGCAGGCGCGGCATTGGATAATTGGCGCCGATCCCCAGGCAGCCTGGGCCTCGGGCCTCAATTGGGCCCGAGGCAGACGAGGCACGGGGCTGAAGGGGCCTGAAGGGGCGGGCGACATCTAACCGAAGCACCCCATCGAGCCCTCCGAGGCCCCAGACGCGGCGACTGGTCAACTGCCCTGCCGACGCCCGACGAGCACAGGTTGGCGGTCGGAAAGGCCGCTGTCAGAGAACGAAACTGAGCGCGCCCGAAACTGAATCGGAATTTCACCAAAGACCCATCCCTGCCTGACGACGCCGTCTTTCCACACGACCTTCATCTTGGTGTGCCCCAGCCCGTTCTTCTCGGGGTCCCCGTGCTGGAGAATGTAGCTGTCCAATAACTTATGAACGCCCTTCACGCCTGACTTGAACTGGTTGACCTCCTCCCTGGTGATCGACTGGGTCGGCTTCACGAAGGTGTGCGAGGTGCTGTTGCCCTCTTGATAGTGAACGATGAGCGCTTCCACGTACTCGCTAAACTCAGCTCTAACGGTCCCGTCTGCAGCCATCTTCGATTTCAGATCTGCCATGGAAACGCCAGGATGCAGTTTGGCCTTGCTTACGCCGCAGTAAGCGCAGCACTTGCCCTCGAAATTCGGTTTGTGCCAGGACCGATGGGGATGGCAATGGGGGCGAGGCGAAGAACAATATGGGAGAATGGTGAGGCCGACAATGCGGGGGTGGAGCGGGAGGTGAGGGGGTGGGGGACGGCCTGGTCCTGTCGTTGAAAACAGGATCGGGATCGCCCAACTTCTTCCCGCAGAAGTCGCACATCTTCGCCATCAGCCTGTCATGGGCCGCCCCCATGATCGCGGCGGCCGTCGCGAAGAGCACGCCGACCGCGCCGACGCCGCGGTGCGCCTTCTCCGCCTTCTCCGCGGACGCCGCGGCGGCGGGGCCGAGCGGGTGGCCCCTCTTCTGGCGCTTGCGGATCGGCCCCGCCGCCTGCGCCGGGCAAACTGCCTCGCCGCTGACGGCCGCGGCGGCTGCCCGCCGTCGAGGCTGAGGACCCGCGAGCCTCGGATCTCAGGAGCGATGCGCGGGCAATCGCGAATCCCGAGGCCCAAGGGTCGCGGGTCTGCAGCTACGCAGCAGCGGGCCGCGCGCGATCGCTTGGCCAGCAACGCGCGGCGCCTGCCCAACGTCGGCGGCCTCGACCACGGAGCCGCCGTCATCCAACTCAGGGACGTCGGTCATGCTATCCAGCAGGTCGCATCCGCCGGGCAGCGCCATAGCAGGGCTGCCGATGACGGCACGCGAAGCAGCAGGTTGGCGGGGCCCCCGCCCCGCCGCGCCGCTAGAAGTGCTGAGGGTGAAGCCACTCTGTTCAAGGATTTCGCAACTCCCAACCCCCGACACGCTGCTCTAAAAGAAACGCATCCCCCGAAAGGATCGAGAACATCTGGAATGCGATGCGACAGCGCGAGACAGGAACTGCAATGTTTGTTCGCACTCGCCAACTGTCAACGTGAACCGGGTGGTCCTGAAATCCCAGAGCGCCCGACCCCACCCCCAGCCGTCGCGGGGGGGGCGAGGGAAGAGGAGGGGCATTGAGGGAAAGACTGGCTCGATGGAGCCCACGTGCCGCGAATTCTGTCGCGAGGGCGGTAGTCGCGCTGAGCGGCGACTACCGCCCCCGCGACAGAATAAGCTGGTGTCATGGTGTTGGTAATGGTGGTGCAGTTATCAGTGGCGATGGTGTTCACGGTGTGAGTTATCACCTAGGAGCTACTGGTCATGGGAGCAGTCGGTTGCTAATGACAGCGACGACCAGCGGTGCTGCTGGAACTCGCGAAGGGGGGGGGGAATGCAACCGCCGTCGCGGGTGAGGACGCCAGGAGGGGACATTGACTATGATATTCAACTCCATCGCACGACCATCGGGCGTCAGCTGCACGGGGGGCCCGCGGGCGAAACGAGACAGCCTGGTCAGACCGCCTCGCTGCGTCAAACGGGCGCTCGACTGCGGCCACGGCGCCCAGGGCACCCGACACTTGCGGGTGGCAGAGGCGATGGAGCTGGCGGGTCTAGCGCAACCTGTCAGAGCCGCTGAAACCTCGAGGCACTGAGCTACCCAAGTGGGGGGCGCCTGCGCCTAGGAGCTCAGTGCAGAGCTCGGCGCACAACAAACTTTCGAGAGATGCTGACCCCCGCCTCTCTTCCCTCTGCTGGGAAATGACCCCGTGCACGTCGGCGGCAACTGGAAACTAGATGGGGGGAGTTGGAAGGGAGGGGTTGGTGCGAGGGCTAGCGGACAGGAAGAGAGAGGAGGGGGAGGCGGCGGAGAACGGGAAGGGAAGGAAGAGGAGGAAGAGGAGTCGGAGAACGAGGAAACGGAGAAGGGGCACAAGGAGTGCAGGAGGAGGAGGAGGAGGAGGAGGAGGGCGGATGACGCGGAGGCGGAGGAGATGGGGAGGTCGGGGGAGGGCGTCGATTGGAATGGACTTGAAACAAAGGGAAAGAGGAAGTGGAACTCACATCCCAACCTCAACTGGGCCGGCGAGGGCAGCCGGCAACGCTCTCCATGTAGTCCCAGATGCGCTCGCCCTGGCCAGACAGCGAGCGGTCCATGATGATGTCCTGGATGGGCCCGATGTGGGCCTCGTGGAACGCCGAGTCCTTGAGCTCGAAGCTGGCGAACGCCGACAGCGCGAATGCGAGGGCGGTGTGCGCGTTGAACGCGTTGCCGGCGAGGCAGCGCACGTCCTTGCGGCTGAAGTTGTGCAACTGATTGTACGTGTACATCGGCAACCCCTGGGCCCTCATCACCTCGGCCGGCTGCATCGGCCTGAATCGGCTGCGCAACCATGGGAGACTCTTCGGCGTGATGCAAGTGATGCCATCAGAGCACACAGGGACCCTGTTGAGAGACTGCGAGATGTCGATGACCATCTCCGTGTCCCCGCCCTTGGGAAGCCGCCCCAGAATGAGATCGAAATACAGGATGACCTCACGGGCGCGCTGAGGAACCAGCTTGAGCATGCCGAGGTCCGTCTTGTCGTAATGGAGGCTCATCACGGGAGGGTACCGCAGACCCTTGCTGCGAAACATCTCTGCGTGCAGATCAGGCCAAGGAACTGTCTTCTCGCTGCCGCTGTGCGACTTTGTCGGCCCATCCCAAGTATCCTCCCAGCCGTCATCCTCCTTGCCCTCAGCGAACCCGACGTCCTCGCCGCAGGGGTCCTCGAGCCACAACTGGAGCTGCTCGCTGTCCTTCGGCGCCGAAAACTAAAACTGATTACAGGTTGGCCCGCTGGATTCAAGTGTCCTCGAACCCCCCCCCACGCTAACCTGGCCATGCCCTAAGGCCGCCCTGGGTCCCCAGGGCCCTCCCTGCGTTGGAAAACTAGTTTCCTTCTCGGCCCCCCCCCTCTCCTCCCCCCCCTTCTTCCTCCTCCTCCTCCAACGCAAATCTCGACAATCACTGGGTGAGGTTCAGGACTAGCTTGCCTTGACACACCTCTGTCCTCCTGCAACAAGAGGTCGCCCAAGCGCGCTGGCTGCATCTCGATGCGACGCACCGTCTGCAAGAACCTCTCCTTGATGGGGCCGCGCTTGTCCGCGTCTGCTTGCGTGAGCGGCTCGGTGGACATCCTGGTCGCCACAGCCCACCACCTGGTCCTCCTCTGAGGCGACCCGTGCCACCGCGCGTCCACGACCGAGGAGGTGAGGATGTATCCGAGCTCCAAGAGGGCTACCTCGAGGTCCATGGCGTTGGTCGAGCCCGTCGCAACCTCGGCGTCCTCGATGGCAGCAACGTTTTCAAAGAAAACGAGACGAGGCTGATGCCTCCGTACGTAAGCCAGCCCAGCCTTCAACGTTTCCCCTGTGCGTAGGGAGCCAGCTCTGACGCAGCCCTTGGAGTTCGGCGCGTTCTTGTTCATACGGGACAGGTCGACGCACGAGAACCCCAAGAACATCACGTCCGTCCCTGGGATGGTCCGGCACTGGGACGAGATGACGTCATATGCCTTGTTGTTGGGGCGGAGGAACTCCACGACATCCGCGAAGAGCATGGCAGGGGGCGGAGTGGTCATCGTCTGGATCCACCTAAAGGCATCCCTCAATCTCTCCTCCCTCCTGCTCCTCCCCCTCCCCCTCCTCCTGCTCCTCCTCCTGCCCCTCCTCCACCTCCCCCCCCCGCATCGCCATCCTCCCCCCCCTCCTCCTTCTCCACGTCCTCAAGCCCCCCACGCGTCCCACTCCTGCCCGCTCGTCTTCCTCCTGCCCCCCATCCGCCTCCTCCTCCTCCTCCTCCTCCTCCTCCTCCTCCTCCTCCTCCATCGACAACCCCCTCTCCCTCGACAATCCCCCCGTTCCCCCTTGCGCGGTTCTGTGAACCCGACCACCTCTGCTTGGTAGGGTGAATTTCGCAGCTGAAGCTGTGCGAGCAGGTGCCGCCGCCAATCTTGAGGACGCTGCGGAGGACGTCCAAGCACACGTCCGTGCCGCTGCACAACGTGCCACACGTGGAGCGCACCCCACTGCAGTTCACGATGAGCCGCGCTTTGGACTCGGGCGACAGGAGCTCGTAGAACTGCCGCGCGATGGAGTCCAAATCGCCCAACTTGCAACGCCCAGCGTCGAGAGAGTTGTTCCGGGCCAGCCTGCGCTGAGGCCCTGCGGAACCTGCTGCTGGCGCCGAGGGCGGAACCGGCGGGGCAGGCGCCTTGGCCGGCGGGCTGGAAGCCTGGGGGCAACCGCAACCCCTTGCCTCGACCCCCGACCCCCTCGAATAGAGACAGGCGCGACCCAGAAGGTAAGAGATCCCAAGGGGGCCCCCTGCGTAGGCCACTCTGTCACAGAGTCCAGGCTGCCGAAGGTAGGCTAGAAAGTAGGTGATCCCAAAAGGTAGGAGACCCCAGAAGGCATGCCACAAGGTTAGAGATCCCAAGGGAGCCCCCTGCGTAGGCCAGAAAGTAGGAGATCCCAGAAGGCGAGGCCAATCTGTCACGCAGTCGGACTGCCCACAATCAGTCAGTCAAGCCAGCAAGCCAGTCAGCCAGCCCAACTAGCCAGTCAGCCAGTCAGTCCCATGGCCCCCGCCTTGTTCCCCTCTGGCAACCTCCTGGACCCCTCCCTGCACCGTCCTGCCCCCCCTGGGCCTCCCTGCCCCTCCTCCTCCTCCATCCCTGCTTCCTGGCCCCCTGCCTCTCCTCCCTGCCCCCCCTCCCTGCCCCCCCCTCCCCCTGCCCCCCCTCTTCCCCCCCTTCCCCCCCTCCCCCCCCTTCCCCCCCCCCCCCCTCCCCCCCCTACCCCCTCCCCCTATCCCCCCCTCCCCTCCCCCCTACAAACCCCGGAAACTCCCGGAACCCCCGGCCCTGCACCCCTTATATATTAAATCTTATATAAACCCCAGGAGGCCCCCCCCTACCAAAACTCCCGAAACTCCCGGGAAAACACCCCGGGAAGGGGGGGGGGAATGGGGGAAATGGAAAGGGGAGGGGGGGGAGGGGGGGGGGAGGGGGAGGGGGAAGGGGGGGAGGGGGGGGAAAGGGGGGGGAAGAGGGGGAGGGGGGGGGGAAGGGGGGGGGACGGGAGGGAGAGGAGGGAGGGGGAGGGGAGGGGGGGAGGGAGAGGAGGAGGGGAGGGGGAGAGCGGGGGCAGCGGGGGAGAGGATGATAGGGGAGAGGGAGGGAGGATGCAAGGGGGGGGGGATGCAAGAGGAGAGGTGCGGGGAGAGCGGGGCGGAGAAGGGGGAAGAGGGGCGCGGCGAGGCTAACGGAGCCAAGGAGGGAGCAATGGGGGGGCGAAAGAACGAAGGCGACTGGGAGAGACAGTCGGGGTGCTCGGCGAAAAGAAGGGAGGGCGGACCGACAAGGCACGTTGATGACACCCTTTGCAGCCAATGGGGAAGAAGACCACTCCCCGCGGGCAAGGGGGCCCCTCGACGCGCTCGCGGGGAGAAGGTGGCGGGAACAGGTTGCGCGAGAGGCCTCTCCCGCAGACGCGCAAACCAATAGAAGGTCGCTGACGCGCGTCATCAAGCGTGCAACCTGCTGCGAAGCCGAGTCCCTGACCTCCTCCAGGGTAAAGAAAGGAACACGTGCCCTCTAGAAACTGCGATCCGAAAGCCTCGAAAACAACCAGGCAGACCAAAGGATGCATAGAACAAGGGGGCGGCCGAATGACGTCCAAGAGGCCCCTCAGAGAGACCCCCAAGAGGCCTCGAGAGGGCCCCCGAGGCACCCAATGCGCCCCCGCGGACGCATTAAGAAGCCCCAAGCACATTGCACTCGGCACCCCGTTCCAGCGACGACGGACGGCCGACGACGACGACGATTGCGACGACGACGACGACGACGACGACGACGACGCCAATACGACGCCAGAACTCCAGGCAATTTTCCCTCGGTACCCCGTTCCAGCGACGACCGACGGCGGGCGACGACGACGACGACGACGACGAAACCAACGACGACGACGCCAAAACGACGCCACAGCTCCAGGCAATTTGCATTCGGAACCCCGTTCCAGCGACCACCGACGACCGACAACAACGACGACGACGACGCGTCCAAGAGGCTCCCAAGACCTTCAATGGGATCCCCGAAGCACCCAAGAAACCCCCACAGAAACTCCAAGGAGCTCCAGGCAATTTTTACTCGGTTCCGTTCCAGCGACGACCGACGACGATGACGACGACGACGATTACGACGACGACGACGCCGACGATTACGACGACGACGACGAAAACAAGGTTGCGCCACCAAAAGGGCTTCGACATATGATTCAGGAGGACAACCGGTTGTGTTAACATGGTGGCGTGGCGGGATAGGTATTGAATTCCCGCGAAGGAAATCCTCCGCTGTTAAGAGGGCGATCTGCTGCCCCGGACGGCCGCCCTCTGGACTCGCTGCCGCCTCTCTGCGGCGCGGGGGGCCAGAATGGATGGAAGTGGGCGGCCTCCTTCACCTCCTCCTCCTCCTCCACGCCCCCGCACCCTTCTCCCTGATTCCTCCACGTCCCATCCCCCTCCCCTCAATGCCCCCCATCCTCGTCTTCGCCCAGAAATCCTGAATGGCGTCCAAAATGTCGGGCGCCCCCGAGGGGCTCTCCGTCGCCGACGGGCCCTTCGCGGCGGCGGGCTCGTCCGCCTCGAAGGCCTCGACCTGCTCGGCGACCTCGCCCGCCTCGACGCCCGCGGCCGCCGCGGCCCCAACCTTGGGCGGAGGGAGGGCGAAGGGAGGCGCCGGACATTTTACGACGCATCTTGCAACGCCCCATTTTCGTCGTAAAAGGTCCAGCGCTTTTCGTGCTACAGTGGCCGATCTGTTTCTGACCCCTCGTAGAACCTGGTTAAGGGATGGCCGCTGATCTTTCTGGTTCGGGCCCCCCCTGGAGCCCCATCCGAGGCTTGCGAGGGGCCCCCAAAGTTCGCCCGCCAGTCCCCCTTCAGCCCCCCAAAGAGAAGTTCGGGAGGGAGAGCTGCGAGATATCAAGGAAAAGGATATGTCACTTGCCCATCTGGCGTCGGCCCCTCTTGAGCCCAGCGGACCTCCACGGGCGGGCAAGCCGATGCCGAGGCCGCCCGCTTGGCCCTGGCCGCGGGTCGGCGGCGGACCGCCCGGCCCCTGGGCGGCGTCGCCTCCCTCAAGGCCGCCGCGGTAAAGCGGCGGCGCCTCCGCTGCGGCTGACCCTCAGCGCCTGCGCCCTTGGCCCCCCCTCGCGGCGTCGGCGCGGCCTCTGGCTCTACCTGCGGGGTCGGCGTCGCCTTGGCCTGGGCCTCCGCCTTGGCCGCGCCTCTGGCCGCGCCTCTGCCTCTGGCCTTGGCCTTGGCCTTGCCTCGGCCGAGACCGCGACCGCGACTGCGGCCGCGGGTCGCCCTCCTCTTCTTCGAGCCCCCCGCCAGCTCCAAGTCCTCGCGAGGATTCAGGCGAGGAGGGCGATGAAGGGAAGTCAGGGGGATGCGAGGGAGGAAGGGAGGGGAATGAAGGAGGGCAGGAGGAGTAGGAGCAGGACGAGACAGGGCGAGAAGGAAGATGGGGGACGTGGACGAGGAGGAGGAGGATCAGGAGCAGGTGGAGCAGGAGGGGCCAGGGGGAAGAGGAACGGCAAGAAGATGAGCAAGAATATGATTTTACAATTGAATCAGCAGGACGTCCGTCCGTCCACAATCCACAGGTCTCCTTCCGCCTGCGAGCATAACGTGCCAAATTGTTTCGGCCCGCCCCGAACCACGACGGGGAAGGAGAGGGCGCTCCGCCAGCGGCGCTGCCGAGGGCGCCGCCCCCAGCGGGGCCGAAAGATCTGCGGCGCGCTGCGGCGCAGCCGCAGCGCGGCCGGCCGATCGCACCGCGGAACCCACGATCCGCCATCGCAATCCTCCACGGAGGGAAGCCACGCATGCGAGCCGAACGGGCTGCTCAGGAGGAGAAGGGCGACGGCGGAGAGGCAGGCGAGGAGGGGGAAGGGGGAAGGAGGGCCGAGGAGGAAAGGCAAGGATGAAAAACGCGAGGGCGGGGGAGGACGAGGGCGGATAGGGGGCTAAGGGGAGGGGTGAAAGGGGGGGGGGGGGCGAGGAAGAGGAGGGGGAGGTGGCGGCGGCGGTGGGGGGGGGGGGCGTTTTCGGCGCGCGAAGAAAGGCGGGGTCCTCTGCCAGATCCAAGATCTGGGGCGTCGGGCTCGGAGTCGGACTCGGCGACAATTCCAACGTCAACGAACGCGGACCTCGGCGTGGTCGGCCGGTCGATCTCCGTCGGGCTCGACGCCAACACCTCGATGGGCGTCGGGGGGCACTGCGGCGACGCCCAGCTGGTCGGCGAAAGATCACGCGTCGGAGTGTGCCTTTCGGTCGGCGAGGGAAGCTGCGAACGAAAGTCAACAAGCCACTCCTCGTCGGCCAGCCCCTGGGGCGCACGAGGCTGAGGTTCCTCATGCACGGGCTGCCGCGCCTCTGATTCGAATTCGGACTGGTCCAGGATCGACGAATGGGTGGGCGAGCTACTGGGCAGCTCCCACCTGACCGTCGCCGAAGTGAATGTGGGCGACCACGAGCGGGGGGGGGAGCAGTCCTCCTCCTCCGCGGCGGACGCGCCGCGCGATGTCGCCCTGGGCGCCGTCGAAAGACCGGGCCGCACGCCTGTCTCCGCATCCTGCGCTGGCCAAGGCAAGGGCGAACGCGGCGCTGGCCAAGGCAAGGGCTCTCGGCACGGCGGCGGAGTCTCGCTCCGCGAGCGCCAAGGCAAGGGCTCTCGGCACGGCGGCGGAGTCTCGCTCCGCGAGCCTGAGGCGCCTCGCCGAAAGTACCACGCCATGCCACAGCGAGGGGGCGCCGCGGCGCGATGGGCAGCGGGCCCCGACGTCGGATGGAGCCAAGATGGTTGCCGAAAGAAAACAGCGATATCCAGCGGCGCCGCTGGCCGCTGGCACAGCCGATCGGCTCGGGCCGCGGCGACGACGACGGCCGCGGCAGCGACGACGGCAGCAGCTTCGACGGCGGCGGCGGCTTGAACGCGCGACGCGCAGGCCGCGGTTACCTTCGCGCCCTCGCAAGGCGCGAAGCCACCTTGGAGAAAGGCAGCTCCCCAGCCCCGGCAGCGGAGACAGAGGTCGAAGCGAAGCTTGAAGCGCGACTATCCCGGCGCTCCTGGAGGGGACCTAGTAGTTACCAACTTAGATGCAGAACCCCGCTCCTCATCTGACAGCTGCAACTCCAAGGCCGCGGACCCCGACTCCGACT